ATGGTTTCTCGTTGATGCCGCAGTTATGCAGAGAAGCCGCATAAGGACTGTGAAGATCCACGAGATGTTCAGGCCATCTGCGAAGCCAGAGAGACCATTGGAGACTTGAAACTTAAAACCGATAAAACCTTCACTGTACCAAAACATCTACGAATGAGCGCAGACAGAAAGAAAGTTGAGATGATCAACCTGGAGGACAATGTAAATCACGCACACTCTTTATACCGCGCCCTGAAAAAAAAAATGGTGTGTTGACTTGACTTCATTTCATTTTGTCAAGCGGTTGCACGCAATAAAATGGAATAAATTCAACACACCGTTTTTTTTTTTTAAGTGTCTAAATAGTCGACGGAAAACGAAATGTCCCAGCAGGTTTCTCTCAATGACTCCATCCATCCCACCAGATACGTGAAAAACAAACTGAGATGAACCGGGAGATCGTGGCCTTGCGGGATTTCAAACTTCTCCTTTTATCAAAACTGGCAGCCCAGTCGAAACAGCTCCAGAAAGTCCAGAGTTGTTTGCCGTCCGAGCTCCACCGCCATCCGGCCACACTGCCCACCATACGATGTGAGGAAGTGCCGGAGAAGAGCCTGCAATGCACCCGAGCCCTTCTCGAGAGATATCGGGTGCTGAGAGAGAAAAGGTGACTCGGTAGTTCCAAAGAAGCCCACCTTGCGGTGATTAATTCCAATTGAAAAACAGAATCTCTGAAATGTTGAAATAGATCGAAGGATGAAGAGCAAGAGGATCAAGAGAGTGCGATGAGTGTGGTGGATGAGCTGGAAAAGGAGATGGAAGGAACGGAAGAGATAGAAGATGTCGTCGGTTTGTCCGCAGAGGAGACCGCAGCGGAGGAAGCAGAAGGACTGAACGAGGAAGACCTCCACAATATGGACCGGGACACGTTGCTCGACATGCAGGACTTTCTGCTGGAGCAGGTCTGTTTCGTTTTTTTTTCTTTTGATTGAATCCATTGCCACTGAACATCTCAATGTCACGAGCAGTAATCCATCAATGTCTTGTTTGATGTATTTACCAGATGAAGAGCTCGGTGGATCAATTTGATAAGGAGCACCTGATGTGTCTTGAGAAGGTGCAAATGTTGGACTGGAAGCTAAAACTTGCCAATCTCCGTCAGTTGACTCTCTATCAGGAGCTGCTGCTCCTCAAGGAGGTGGACAAGAGTGAAAGGATTCTCCAGGACAAGCTCGACAAACGTCTGAGGGAGCAGAATGAGTTGCTGGTGAGAAATCAGTTGTCCTTTGAAAGCGCGAGCTGGGCCATGCCCGCAGTGTGAAATGGACAGTTCAGACTTGAAAAGCTTTGCTAGATTTGGAGAATTGGACACAAAATGATTTGGGCATTTCTTTGTCGGATGAACCGAAGCAAACTTTGCCAACAATTGCCATTCCCATGTTGTGTTTGTTCCTTTTTGTAACAGTCGGAGCTGGAGAAGCACAGGAAGGCGCTGGAACTGAAACGTAAAGACATTGCGAAACGGCAGGAGAAAGAGAAATCGAATACCGCGGCCTTCCACGCCTTGCTGGGTGATGACAACAACTTTGAAGAGTATCTGACCAAAGTTTACAAGAAGAAGATAAAGCGTAGCAAGAAGAAGGACCAAGGAAGCGATGGTGATGGGACGCCTTGATCGCAGAATGTGGCCTAGATGTGCGTCAGTCAATTCAAAGGAGACAAATTCTTTTGCAGAGGAGGACGAGGACAGCAACGATGACTTTGACGATTACGAAAATTGGGATGACGACGACGACGATGATTGGGACGGATTAGATGGAGATGGCGCTGTGGAGGAATGCCCCCCGGGTCAGTTTTTCTGTGGACATCCTCAGTCATCCGGGTCATTGAAAAGACCGATAAGAGTTCGTTGGTTTATCGTGCACGCTTACGTTGCTCAACTAATATCTTGATAAACAGCTCAACGACACTAAAAAGTCAGATTACCAAGATCGAACAACTTGATCTGTGCGTTGAGAATGAAATGAAAGAGTCACTATAAAATGATAACAATAATATGAATGAATTAGAAAAAATATATAAATCTATAACTTCTCAACGATCATCAGTTTTACCAATCGAAATGTTCCTAACAATACACAAATGTACTGAAAGTATCCGCGTGCCGCAGGTTGCGACCAAAAACTGTTTGACGACATACTGGAGCTGCGTGAACGTCGCCTGGATCTGGAGGAGCTGCTGGCAGAGGAGAAGAAGAATGCAGAACAGCTGGAGAAGGAGTGTGACGCCCTCGTAAAAAAGGTCAGAGCAGGCGGGTGCGCAGGACTGGCCAACGGGCGGTACATAGTGACTTAGGACTGAATTTTTGATATCAAACGTGTACTTTATTGTGTTATCGTCGCAGCTGGCTAAAGTAAAGCCTCTCCATTCTCAAGAGCACTTTTAATTCATGCCTTTGTCACATCTCGGGTGGATGACTGGAGCGCACTTGACGATAGAGTCAGCCAGTGCTCCATTAAGCGTCTCCAGTTGGTCCAAAATGCTGCTGCTCGCCTTTCGGCTGATACTCGTAAGAGGGAGCACATCACTCCTCCTCTGGCATCGCGTCACTGGCACCCGATACATTTGAAAGTTCTTTTTAAGGTTCACGTTAAGATTTTCTTTGACATTTTGAATGTGAAAATCGTTGGAAAACGTTATTATCTGTGTTCCCCACAACATTTCAGAAAATGTACCTGGCACGTACAACGTAATTGCAACTGTAGTTTTTTTTGTTGTTGTCCTCACTCATTTTTGAGCTCTGGTCTCGCAGATGAAATCTGTGAAAATCAGTCTTAAGGCAGCAGAGGATGACTTGGAGGAAGTCAACAGAGAGAAACAGCAGAAAATGAACCAACTGGATGTTGTCGTTCCTCTTCGGCTGCATCAGGTGAAGAAAACTTGCCTCAATCCATTTTTTGTTCATTTCGGCGATATACTGTCGTCTTCTGCCACTGCCGTCTCCTTGCGGATTTCCAGATAGAGATTGATATCAGCGGCCAAGTGCCTTCGGACCTCAGCCCGGCATTGGTGGTCACTCGGATGGAGCTCCAACGGCTGCAGGAGCGAGTGAAGGAGTTGGAGGTGGAGAAAAATCAGCAGACAGAGGTGTACCGTCAGGCCCGTCAGCAGCATATTAGGCTCATCAAAGAACGCAAGGATATGAGCAATGAGATCCAGTGTAAGACCCAAAACACCTGGAAGGACTGCAGCACCCAAATACACCAAAAAAAATGGACCGTACTTGATTTTGTTTGTCATTTGGTGTAGCGCTGGAGAAGCTGTGCCACCAGCTGATGATGACAAGGTTTGGGAGGGAAGTAGATATGGAGGTTCTGCAAACCCTGTGCGTCAACAAGTCGGTTGCCGAGATGAAGCAGGAAAAAATCTTGCGAGACCTCGCCAACGCCAAAGACATCCAACAATGGGATGTAAGCTAAACCTTGCGCACGTGCGTCTTCTTGGATGCCATTTCACTTTTCGATTTTCTTTGTGTGTGTGTGTGACATCTAGAGAAAAGTACAAAAGTCTCGTGAGGCTCTCATGGTGATGACAAGGAGCAACTCGGAGCGTCTCCTCTGCTTGAATAGCCTCTTTGAACAGAAGAAGGAGCTGGAGATGAAACTTTACACAAGACAAAAGAAAATTGTAATGACATTTCAAATGTGTTTGTATGCTGCCATGATTCGTGATCCTCAAACTTTTTTTTTTCCCACCTGGAACCACCTCAAATTCGCGCCACCACTATGACCGACATTAAAATACAGGCGCAGAGTAGGTGTACGTTTTCATCAAAAGTAATTTCAAGGTTTTATTCCTAAAAAATACATGTAATACTCTTGTAAGCCATTGGAACTCACAGTTCAACATGAACACTGCAGCGGTGTGCCTGAAAAAATGATTCACTTGAAATATATTGCACATGATAGTTAAATTAAAATTTTACCCAAATGGGTGTTTTGAAACTGAAAAATAAATTTTGACGATTAAATAAAGAACTTATACCTGACTTAAAAAGTTAAATAAAACTGCTCCTGCGGTGATTCTCTCATCTACCACTAGAGGGCAGTGGTGTTGATTCCAACCTCTGATAATTACTGCATCCTCGACAGGGGTGAAAATGAAAAAAAACATTTGTCAACCTCAATTTGACACTAATGACAACACTATTGCTGTCCCTTTTTTTCCCTTAATCTTAGGTTGTAAAAAAATATATATCAGCCTGAACAATAAATACTCACGTACTTGTGTGTACTCAGGGCAAGCAGCTTCAGGCCTGCAGCAGGAGAGCAGACAGAGACCAGATCTGGAGTCTTCAGGAACTGGTGAAAAAACAAGCTGAGCAGATCGAGAAGCTATCCGATGAGATCAGCCAACTTGGGCCTACTGGAGGACACATGCTTTCCACTGGCCACGCTCATCTACCGCCGCTCCCTCCTCTGTCCAATCCCACAGTCCATAAACGCACCAGAAAACGAGGAAAACTCATACCTGGTTTCAAGGAAGAGGACACGACTGAAAGTGACACCACTGACTAAGAATTGAATTCACCTGCTAATACTTTTTCATTGGGCTTGCTGTTCGAAGCAAATCACTACCTCAGGCTGCTGCTCAGCAGTAGACAAAAGAAATGACACGACAAGAGGACCGCCTGCGACTGTTATATTTATAACAACACAATTCCACAAATAAATGGCGAGCTCACGAAAAAGTGGTCAAACCTGACCAGATTATTTTCAGTGGTGAAATCATTTTTGTTTCAAATAGACACGAAAAAGTGGTCAAACCTGACCAGATTATTTTCAACGGTGAAATCATTTTTGTTTCAAATAGACATTGATCTGAAACCTACACAACAGTTCCAATCTTATATTTACTTCTGACGACTGGTATTTTCTTTTAGTGGTTAAAAAAATCTGAAACCTACACAACAGTTCCAATCTTATATTTACCTCTGACTACTGGTATTTACTTTTCTTTTCGTGGTTAAAAAAAAATTAAATCAAGAACTGAAATTTAAGTTTTCCAGAACAGGTTCTTTTGGCTTTGGTGTGGTGCACAGAAATACGAGGTAAATAAGTTCAAAACAAAGCTTATACATCCCAGTGTCTTTATGTACAGTCGAGAGAATCTACAAAGGCTCATCTATTAGTCCAAAGGCACGTCTTTCCTTCATTCATTCACAAATGATGCTTATTCAATCATGGATAGGTTAGATGGGTTCTGTTAGACCACAAGTGTGTCACACACAAACCAATGCTTAACACCTTATGATTTTTTTTTTTTTTTTATCGCTCGGTCTACTTTTTTTTTTTTTCCTTGTGCTGAGAGCGAACATTGTATGGAGCAGAACTTCATCAATGACCACGAAGAGATGGAGGTGAGAACATGACACTCCCTAAAACAATGAAAATACACATGCGACAGCTGTGGACGTTGACATGAGGTGAGCGTTTAGTTGTGCCACCAAGATGATGTGGTAAAAAAGGAACAGAAAGTAACCAAGTGCCCACGATGTTCCCCTACTCAGAGGGCACTCAGCTCCTGCATCAGCCTCTCCTTCTCCCGTTGCAGCTCCGAGATGCTCTGCTTGTTCTGCTCCAGACGATCCTCCAGCCACTGCAGCAGCGGTCCGCTCACCGCCGACATCTGGCTGCACAGATTCTTGGTGAAGACAGATCCGTTGTGGATCTTGGTGACCGGGTCCAAGTGAGCCAGGCTGTGGATCTTGCGGTATGTATCCTGCTCCTCCTGACACAGTATCCGCGGCAGCTCCACGGCCGACTCCAGGCACACTTTACCGATAGCCTGGCGTGGGACGACGTGGATTGGGATCTCCACACGCTCGTACTCGGAACCCTTTTGGGCCTGGGCCGACTGGAAGCAGGTGTACAGGACGCGGCCCGTCTTGGTGTTTTTGTCCTCGATGAAGCAGGAGAAGATGAGGCCCACGAAACCCTGATCCAGCATTTGGTACATAGCCTGAGTCCGGACGTCAACGTGCGAGGGCCACACGGTGATGTGTGGATGGGAGTGGTACCAGCCCACCACCCGCATCGGCTTGCCCGTCATGTCGGCCAGCCTCTCGGCCTCCGTGGAGGCTGCAGACAGCTGCTCCGGGGAGATCTCCACACGGTCCTTCCTCTTGTCCGAGCGGCGGAGGATGATGACGGAGTGGATGTGGACGATCCGGCTGACTTCTACCTCTCCGATACACAAACCCATCACTTCTTCTTTCTCCGTGCTCAAAGCGTGATTCATACACACCAGGAAGGCGTCCGACTCCAGATGAACCGCACTGATTGCCATTCTCTTTCTTTCTTCAATTCAGTTTTTTTTTAAACGGGAATGACGTTAAAAGCACCAGCAGAAAACCGTTCGGGATTTACTTCCGTGTTATCTTGCGCTTGAATTAAAACGGTCCGAGTTGACGCACCGCTCAGTGAATAGTTCCGTCCCAAAGAAAGTAACAATAATGTTTCCGCACATATTGAGTTTGGAAAACAGGTAAGTTGCCAGCCAATCGTAGGGCACATGTACAAAAGCAACCATTCGCACTCACGCTGATGCCTCGGGATAATTTCGAGTGTTCCATTTACATGCCATCCATGTTTTTGGACTGTGAGAGGTACCGAGAGAAAAAAAAAACACGCAGGGGAGAACATGCAAACTCCACACAGGAAGGCCGGAGCCAGAATGGAACCCTAAACCTCTGGACTGTGAGGGAGACGTGATCATCAGTCTTGAATCAGTATTAAAAGTGTAAACAAACACAGTAAAAACTTAATCACACGTTCACCCTCATCAAACTCAAAATAGCATCACAGTGCTTGTCAGCACCTGTTGAATACAGTACTGTATTGCAACGAAAAATTATTCCCTACGTAGCAAGCGCTAGGACCATGGCAGTTGATTTCAGCTGTTGACCAATGGTAATTCCGCTGAAATGGAGCGGAAAACAAATTGGGTATAAGGCTTTCAAAATTATGTAGTTAATTATTAATTTTAACAGTCAGTTCGGTTAGATACACCTGAAAAATATAAGTATATTATTAATATTATTAATACTATTATACATTACATGAGAAAACATCCCAGCTCAATTTGGAGTAACATTCTCAAAGAGGAACAATAAGGACCAGTAATCACACTTCTGACGTTGCATAGTTTAATGATCTTTACAGTGTTATTTTTTTCCATAGCCAGTGAATGTGATCTCATTTTATTTCAGATAGTATTTATTCTTATCCGCACAGCTATTTTCTTCATAACGAGCTTGCTACCAAAACGCAGAGGGAAATGCCATTCAATTTTCCGAGGCGTCCCTGAATGCGACAACAACGTCAACCTCCACCCCAGGAAAACCGAGCTTCCTCCATAATTCTGAGGTCCACTTATTAGTACGTCTTTCAGTAAACACTGAAAGCGACTTGTGTGCATCTCGGCCCCTCTGAGCCCGGAATTCCCTCTCCATTAGGACCGTGGGAGCGATGCGACGTCTTGGAGGTGGAGGAAGAGGAGACGAACTGGCCAGAGAGCAGCAGCCACCTGCGAGGAAGATCTGAGTTTGTTTCTCGAACGTCAAAGGTAAGAGCACGAGACGAAACGTCTTCGCAGCACCCCACACGCCCGACACAGCATTGACTGAGGGGTTGCTTACTGGAGCGTTTCCGTGTTACTTGGGGCTTCGAGCATCAGTGGAAGGCAAGCGGCGGGCGATGAGTCATAACCCGGCAGGCGCAGGGCTGCTTGGGGCTCAGCTGTGGAGTGGAACAGCGGCTCTGCAGCATCTGAAAGCCAGTATTTTTCTTATTTATCTACTTTAAATTGCATGCCACACATGCAACGAACCGCCGTGCTTAAAAAAAAACAGTGATGGCAAATGTTTGTCTTGACAGGACTATGGATCTGAGAGCATGGTTATTGATTGTCTTTGCAGTTCAGTTTGGTTTTGTAGAAATTCAACGAATGATAAAAATAGAATTTTAAGCAGGTTATGCGGAGTTTATCTTTGTCCAACCTCAGGTGCATGGAAGGAGATTGTGAGTCGTGGATCAACAGTTGGGGCTTGAAGCTTTCTGGTTTGAACAAAAATGTTTTTCGTAGGATTCTGCGCCATGAAAAAAAGCATTAGTAGCCGTGCTTGATTCTAATAGGAAATCCAATTTGTTGCAATGTATCTATTTTTTGTGATCTGCAAGACTGAACTGACTTAACCTTTACCTTCTCACCTGGATGCTGTGTGCTGCAGTGCATTGTGGGAGATAATCAATATAAAATCACTACCGTTCACATGGTTTGTTTTCACTTATTTCGATACAGTATTGCAAAATAGTTATTCTTCAAAACACTGTCGTGAATACAGATAATTCAATTTTCGAGGCCAAAATTGTTTCTTCCATGTTGTGCTTTATGGCTGATTGATGAAGAATCATGTTAATGATCCCCAAGTCACTGTTTGAAAAATGGTCACTTTACAACAGTTTTTTTTTTCTTGGTTCTGAATGTGGAAATGGGATTCGGCTGCTGTTAAGCGCAGGTCTACTCTGTGAGATGGATGGCTCTTGGGCCCCCAAAAAACTACTTGTACGTGCCTTTTAAATGCCGGACTGGGGGCACTCATCAACAACACCAATCGAATTTATTCATGACGTTACTCGACCACATAGTCCATTTCGCCCATTGTCTTTTCTTTTTTTTCTGGTTTGTTGCGTTCACTTGTTGCATTTTTTATCTCTCATGGAAGACTTTTTTGTGGATCCCGCTTCTGCGGCGTGCTAACTGCTGTTTGAGGCGGACGGCAACTGTGTGTTTCCATTCCCACGGTGCTCCTGCCTTGATGATGTGGAGCTGAGATCCATAAACATTAAAAAGCTGCCTCAGACTATAAAGGACAGGGGAGTGAAAATACTTGCTGATCAATATTGGAGCTTGTATTGGCGCTTGGAAGTACATTTTCTTCCCCCTCAGCTGCCACTTTTTATCTTCAGTCATAAAGCACCATCATTACAACTTCTCATGGCGGGGTGAGGGGCGCCCCTTATGAAGTGGTGCCGTTTTAATGACTAAGGCTGCATGTTGATCTATACAACGCTGTTCTCCGGGGGTATCGTACTGAAGATAAAAGCTGTTTGTCTCCAACGTTAAGCGGGGCGTTGTTCAAGTCACAGGCCTGATTCACAATGCCAGCCCTTTTTTTGGGAAGGTTTTATCTCTTTATTGTTCCATTAGATTGACATAGCACAGGTGGTCAACCATTTAGAAGGTTGCTGGTTTGATTCCTTTCAGTATCTTGAAGTATCTTTTATTTATTCATTTCTATGTGTGTGTGCTTTTCAATATTTTACATTCATTTGCTTTGAAACCTTGATGTGCAGGAGGAAAAGATGTGTGTATGTGTAAAAAAAAAGCGCATGGAGTAATGTAAAAGAAAACGGAGTCACAAAGATGAGAGAGAAAGCAGGAGAAAAGGCTAGTTGCCTGGTGACAGAGACGGAACGAGTGAAAGGACAGAAGGTGAAGAAGGCATCCAAAATGAGGAGGTGGAGAAGTGTGGAGTTGTTTTACAAGTGCAAGGAGTTCCTGGTCACGATGCTGCCGCCTTCACTCCCGCTGCACTTAGAACTCTCAAAGGAGGTAGACAACAAATATGCTGTTTGTCTTTAGTTGTGGGAACGGGCAAATCGCAGAAGTTACTGCCAGTTGCAAATTGTAGCCATTGAAATGAACATATTTATGTTGCCGAGCATGTCTTTTCTATGATTCTATTCTGAACTCATAAGTTTTATATGGAACAGTGTGACTATTCCATACTCTTAAATTGTGCTATGAAAATATCAGTTGTCGGTATTCCCATTATATTTCAAAACCACAACAGCGCAAACAAACAGTGACTCACCTAATGGTTTTAATTGGACGACAACAATGCAGCAACAACCAAAATGAATTTCCCTGACATGTAAGACCCCCACAAAAGACAACAAGGACCGCGGCGATGAGTCAAAATATTTAAATCTCCAAATGACTGAGTTCTCCGGGTACATGGTCATTATCTTGGATTAATTTTCTTTCTGTGGTCTAATCTTGGAATGAGATTTCCTTTCTTGTGGTGTACATTTTCTAATGTTAATAACGGGGTTGGGTCGCGGGAGGAGCGGCTTTAGCAGGGAAGCCCAGAAATTCCATGATGGAAAAGAAGAAGAAGAAGAAGAAGAAAAAAAAAAAACCTCACTAAACTGTCTCTGTGAATACAAAGTGCTGGGAAAAGGCCCACTGCCAGTTCTTACTCGCACACGCTGCAGGTTACTCATTTACCCTCTTGAATTTTGCACAGTTACGGTCTCCAAACCGCACGTGCAGCAACTGCATCTTCTCAGGCGCTACTAGGTGTGTATTTGGGTTGAGAATTAGATTTATGGGATTACGTCAATTGTTTCAGATGGTCAAATTAAATGTATACTGGGAAAATAGTCCAACACTTACAATGCTGATTCATGATTTCACATTTTATTTGATTGATGACGAACATCCGTCCGAGGATTCTATTTTCCATAAGACACATCGTGCATGTATTTAAGAGGCTGTTGCTCAAAAGAAAAGAAGAGAGAGTCACAGGGCGAATGTATCTTTTAAATAACCTTGAAATAACGTGCAGATAAAGTTTTGAGTTATGCATTTGTCTCAAGAAATGTATTCACTTCACTTTTTGTCTTGAACATCATAAATTAGAGTGAAATTGTTGTTTCCGAGTCACAAGTGGTAAAGTGGGTTATCTGCTGACGTCCGATCAGCCTCTGTGGGTTCAGTTCCCACTCTTTGACTGCGTGAATGTGAGTGGGCAGTATCGAAAATGGATGGATCTTGGTTCTGGCACTCTATTTTAGTCTCGACACACTTCCAAGAACACCCTAAGGGAAACGGGGGAGCGATCGAGTCATCTAACATTCGCAATGTGCACCAATTATGGCGAAAGCATCACCGTGTTGCATTCTGGTTCAGTTTCAAGCCGTCTTTCTGAATGTTGCCGTTTTAAATTGCTTTTTGTCACCGATGGTGGAGCGGTGCACTCGTCTGACTTGTGTGGCTGCATGGGATCGCTAGTTTTTTTTTTTTCAATATGTTCAGCGTGAAATAAACAACAGAAGTCAGAAGCCCCAAATAAACAAAAACAGACACAAAATTCAATATACACTGTCAAGATGAGAAAAGTGTGATGGAATGGAAGTAAATAACAGACACATGACTCAAGACAGCCCTGATTTCAAGCCGTAAAGTCTAAAAGAAGCCACCCAGGGTGATCATGACTTCCCCGTCACGCAGACGCACATGCAGATAATCCACAGGAGCCCGGAGGTTCATACATCTTTAACACTGTCGCTGCGTCATGAATTCTTTTGTCATGTTTTCCCAACAACATTGTTTAGATTGATAGCATCTGCGTAGTGTGTGTGCTTGTAAAGTCAGGAGGCAGAAAACTCAATTGAATCAGATGGCGTGAGAAGCAACTCGGATGTTTGCAGCTTTTACAGGC